GGGCGCTTCGAGATATTCCCTCGCATCGACGCCCGCTGCCGCTCCGCCCCTTGGGCGCTCTCTCTCGTTTTTTGGCGCGCTGTGAACATTTCAGTACGCGCGCCACTCTGCCCGGCCCCCCGCCCTCAATCGCCTCCATATGCAGCCCGCACCAAAACTTCACCCCAAAGTCCGGCGCGGAGCGGACCATCGACCTCCCCCCGCGGCCAATGCTGCTTAAGGGGTAGGATACAGGATACATATATATATATATATGTATATATATATATATTTCCGATATTAGTGCGAAGGAATTTTGGTCCCCCCCGAATCATGCAAATTACCCTCCTATTTGGTGTGTATGATATTTGGCCAAGGTGCTGTCGTTGCCCCTTTTTTGCCGGAATTTCCTCCTCCCCCCCCCTGAGTCCCGTCTGGACCCCAAAAAAAAAAAATTCCCGGTATAGCACGGAACGAGTGGATGCTACCCGACAAAGACCCTTGTGAAACGGAGGAGTCCCTTGCTCCACCCTCTGAGAAACGTTGTCATATGAGGCCGGCCCCGCACCCTGGGCATTGGTTCCTCTCCTGGTCCCACCGACTTAGTTTATGGAATGCTTTGGAATACCGGTGTGACGATCCGAGTTTCTGTAATAAATGGCGCCCTGTCACCAGAATACTCCCTCTCTGAGGAACAGCGTCCGTCGGCCCTTCGTGTGGACTCAGTGCTGCCGGCTCCTGCTGAGTGCGCCAGTATTTTGTGCCATGATCTTTTATACGGATCTGCCGCAGCAACTACTTGCATCGGTGGCTTGGCGCTCCCGGAGTCCTGATTTTTTCCACTGTTCACAAGTAGTTTCAACGTGCGTCGTTCCTCCTCTTTGGCCGCATGGGCCCCACCTGCTTCCGGCGCTCGTGGTCAATAGGTGGTGTCAATTTCAGTGAAATTTTAACCGAAACTGCCATGTTTCCCTGAATTTTTGCTTCTTTTTTGTTTTGTTTTCTTGTCTGATATGTATAAGCTCTAGGGTATTTGTTTTCAGCTTCGGCGTATGTGGACGAGTAACAAAAAAAGTTGGCAAAAACACCGAATTCGGAAAACGTTTTGGCGAAATTCGAAAGCTACTTTGAAAAGGGTTTTATAGTGCTGTTCATTTATTTTTTTTCGTTATTTTTTGCCTGTTTTTTTTTTTGATGTTTGTATTATGAGCCTCCATAGTTTGTTTGCAAAAGTTTCGACGACATTGCTTGTACTGATGCGGCAAAGAACCCCGAATTTTGGGCCTTCCATTAACCGCGTGCCACTTCCGAGTTGTTGTATTTGCCATCTTGGCCACGTTGTGCGAGGATGAGGGTTCTCGGTAGGCCTAAGGGGCCCTGTGTGCAGCATTGCCCGCCCTAAGTGAAGCCGGGCCTAACATATCGCAAGAGGCCCTCGACTGTCAATTTCATATTTGGGGTCCAGGCAGTTGCGACGCGCCAGTTGGTTGAGAGAAATTGTCGCATACTGCAGGGCCCGTCCCGCATTCTCAGCCTAAAAGCCTAGAAATAAGGGCTTACAGGCCCCATGTCGTTTCAGCCTGAAACTGAAAACGAGGGCCTGCAGGCCCTATTTCGTTTTCAGCCTATCACAGGGTTTTTCAGCCCTGAGGCTTTTCAGCCTAAAACGGAGGGCCACTTTCGGGCCCTCATAAGATCGACCTACGCTAATACTTAGGCACAAAACCAGGGTTTCGGGAACAGGCTATCTAAAGCCTGTTCCCACGACAACCTCAAGCAGGAGCTGCAGCGGCAGCCCCTGACTCCCTTCGGCATTGGCAAGAGCAGCCTCCTGGACTGCCTCGCCCTGCAGTCAGGAGGCAGGCCGAGTAGTACATAGGAAGTTCCCATACACTACACGGGTAGGTAGTTGGACAGTAGGCACGAGTAGTCTTAAGGATTCGGCTGCAGCACTCAGGAGGAGCACTGCAATAGTAGTTAGCGCTAGCAGTAGTCTTCAGCGCTGGGCGCTAATAGCTGCAGGAGTAGTCTTCAGCGCAGGGCGCTAGTAGCTGGTAGTAGTAGCGTTGGAGAAATATGGCTGACGGAGGCCAGCGGTACTTACCTGTGGCGCCATAGCTCCAGCTCCATCTTCGAGGTACCTGAATCAAGGCGCCATCTTCACAGGTTAGTAGTGGACACAGAGAGAGAAAGAGAGAGTTCTTTGTCTTCCTCTTCTAAGTCCACCATCTCTTCTTCCCCTCTCACCACCTGACTTCTCAGTATCAGCGGACTACTACAGAGAGAGGGAGTTGTGACTTGAAACTTGACGACATTGGATCCAGACACGACATTGGGATTCGGACATTGTGACGAGGGACTATTTGGGCCTGTGTCGAAGACTTGATGTTGACGACATTCCCATCTTTCCCTCTTCTTCGTCTAAGCCCCCTCTTCTTCGTCAGTGTATGGTTGGGGCTGGCGCATTCTTCCTGTGTGAGCGCCAGACCCCTTCACACCATGATGATGATGATGTATGTTTTGGGCTGCATTGCAATATTGATTGTTCGAATCATTGGTATCTAAGTTTTCCGCTGCGCTATCTTGTACTTTGTTAGAGAGGTCGGTTCTTCTTTTGGTCTGCACCTTTACAGTATGCAACAGTTTGGTATCGGAGTGGACCTCTCATTCAGAGGACCCGCTCAATCAAGTAGCCAGCTTGCTTGATCTATTGATTACTCATTAGTAAATCAAGTAGGACTTGTCAAGTTGCTGATAATCGCATTTTGTTTTACCTGAAAATTTTTGATATTGGTATTTCGTTTTCACGCAACAAATATCTGAAAATTTCTAATAATCGCATTTCGTTCTATCTGAAAATTCATGATAGTAGCATTTCGTTTCTCTGATATTCGCATACATAGCTGAAAATTTCTGATGTTAGTATTTCGTTTTCTAGGCATATTAGGATAACGATAGAAGTGGTCATATTCTCAGAAACCCGAATTATTCTTTTCTGAAAATCGAATTTCCATTCTATCTCGCAAATTTTATTTTGAAAACCGAGATCTTGCAAAGCCTACCAAGATTTCGTTAGGCATATTCGGAGGTTGCCATATTCTCAGAAACTGGATTTAGTTCTTTTTTGAAAATCGCATCTCTACTCTATTTCGTAAATTTTTTTTTTCTTCAAGACTGCATTTTTGTAAAAGTCGAAACTTTGCGGAACCTAGCCTAGATCTCGCTCATAGTACTCTTTTGAAATGTCTCACTCATCACAGGTCGACAGATAAAAAAAAAAAAAAAAAAAAAGTATTCCTCTTTTATTTTTTTATTTTTTATTTGTTGATTAGGGCGGGAGGAAAGTATTGTTGGGTTGGTTCCCTACCTACGTTTTCCCTCCCACCCACCCCTTTGCATGCATTTCCGGGTTGGTACAGTGCCACGTCAGCAGTGCCACGTCAGCAACAGTGCCACGTCAGCAGTGCCACGTCAGCAACAGTGCCATGTCAGCAATGCCACGTCAGCAGTACCACGTCAACAACAGTGCCACGTCAGCAGTGCCACGTCAGCAACAGTGCCACGTCAGCAGTGCCATGTCAGCAACAGTGTCACATCAACAGTGCCACGTAAATAGTGCCACGTCAGCAGGGCCATGTCAACAGTGCCCCGCCACCATGACGGGCGCAGCTCTAGGCATGCCAGGCCAACTGGCCAACAAGTCTCTTGCCGACTACAAACAGCAGTTCCAGACTCAGCTCGCCCTGATCGAGGCTGAGGAAAAGCGCCAGCTGGCAGCCGAGTCTGCCTGCCTATAGGCTGAAGAAGCGGCAACAACTGAGAAGTAGGGGCTTCAGGCCGAAGCAGACGCAGATACCCAGGCACTCCGCAAGGAAGCCCAGGATCTGCTACAGCGGCATGAAGCTACTAGCATCGAAAAGCTCAAGTTCTGGCACTTTGAACCATCCGAAGGGCACGACGATGCGACACCGGAAGAATAGCACAAGGAATTCATGGCCAAGCTCGTGACCCGGTTGGTCTACACTTGTAACCACCTGCAGTCCGAGCTGGCGAACCTCCAGTGGGCTGTACGGAACCACAAGGATCAGCACGGACACTTGATTCCCGTGTACAGGACTTGGAGCAAACTGCACCAAGACCGGAGGCTGGCGAGTCCAGCAGTGCACCCTCTGCCCGCCAACTGGAGAAACGCGTTGATCATGTAGTGGCAATGCTAGGTGATATCAGCACCTTCGCAGCGCCAGCCACCATTAGCCAGCAGTTGGACACACTGAAGACCGACATCAGGCAACGACAACAGTCGTCTGACCCCGATCGCAGCACCAACACGGCGAAGCATTACAAGATGCCGACGTTCCGGATCAAGAAGTATGATGATTACACACATCAAGACCCGGTCGTTTGGTGGCAAGGATTCACAACGGAGTTGGGGATTCATGAGGTCCCCGAACATCTGTTCATCGACGCGTTGTTCCTTAACGCCAAGGGAGGATGCGAGATCTGGCTCAGCCATATGGCAATCGTCCACGGCGTCCAGGTCTTCGACCTTCACAAGGTCTCCTGGGAAGATGTGACAAAAGAATGGAAGAAGCGGTTCATCGTTGACGACGCCCCGACGCTCGCCATCAACCGCATCTTCACGATGGCTCAAGGAAACACAGCGACACGTGATTGGCTCACGGATTGGCAGAAGATCATGGCGACACCCGATCTGGACTTACCATTCCCGCATCTGCGCCGGGAGTTCTACAACCGGTCATGCGTCGCTTTGAGCCTCCCACTTGGTGATCGCGAGCAGTACAACACCTTCGCCGAAATCATCAACAAGGCGAGGGAGATCATCAAGACAAACAGGGCAGCTGCACATGAGAAATCAGCTTGGCAGCCAACCTGTGTGGAGAAGGTGAAAACTGGTCCGCGACCGCAGCATGTCGCTGCAATCCAATTGGACAACATTGTGGAAGACCCGGCAGCCACCCAAGCGTCACGTGAGGGAGATCAGGTGGCTGTTGTCCAGCCGCGAAGCAACAACAAGTCCCGAAGAAACGGGAAGGCGAAAACCGCATCGCCGGCCGAAAACGGACAACCAACACCATGGGTCAAGTTTCACTTGACCAAGGCGGAATACAAGTGCCGCGGCCGCTACGGCTGCTGCTATTGGTGCAACAGCACCAAACACAAGACCTCCCAATGCCCGGATCAAGGCAAGGAGGATGTTCGGCCTCGCATCAACTCGGAAAACTGAGTTGCGCGGGAGGTGAGACGACTCCACCTCTCACTCTGCCAGATTCGGCCGCCTTGCTAGCGGCCTCCAACACATCTGGGGAGGATGCGAATGTCGTGAGTTTTCGGTATGCATACGAGGACTATGCTGTCCACTTGGTCCCACCGGTCGACCAACCGCTCCACATGCAACAATCTACCGCATGCACGGTTTCATCACCATCGGCAACCGATTCGGCAGCTTCGCCGCCATCTATCGCCGGGGATTCAATGTCATGGTCAAGACTTGAAAAGCTCGACACGTTGACATTTGCGGACTTCCAATGACTGCCCCTTCCCCGGTTCGGTCGATTGTCGAAACCGCATTCCAACGTGCTCATGGCACAATTGCGGGATTACTTGCACACTGCAGTACCAACTCGACGCCGGAGTAGAGGTTGTCGACCTTCACGCCTTCATTGTGAAGATCGACCGCGAGTTCAAGACACAACAGTATGACGACATCGACGCACCATTGTTATATGTACGCATTCAGATCGGAGAGGCGACCTGCAGCACTTTGATTGATTGCGGAGCATCTCGCAACTACATGAGTCAGGACTTTATGGTACGCGCCGGCTTTGGCCCACGCGTCCGGAGGAAGTCCCAGACTACGCAAGTCACATTGGCAGACGGTCACACGTACAAGTCAATCAACCGGTGCATTGATGTTGTCCCCGTGTACTTTGCCCTGCATGCAAGCGAGGCGGTGTCCTTTGATATATTGGACACCAAATTCGACATGATCTTGGGCATGTCGTGGCTGCGAAGCGAGGATCACCCGATGAACTTCTACCACCGCACCATTCACATTCGTGATCAGAACGGAGTACTAGTCCCACGCACGGTGCCTCTTCCTCATCCTTCCATCAGCTGCCACGTGGTGTCCGCCGCAAGCATGCGAGCTTCCATCATCAGAGACGATATCGAGGAGATGGGGATGTGTTTTTTCCATGCCCTCCCGCCCCATGACGCTTCATCGACGGACTTATCTTTGGACCCACGCATCACCGAGTTTCTCGACGCCTACGGCGACGTGTTCGAAGGCCCACACGGAGTAGTACCGGATCGGCCCATCCGCCGCGAGATCATCCTCAAGGACGGGGTTGTACCTCTGCGTGGTTGCATCTACAGAGTGAGCGAGGAAGAGTTAAGTGTGCTACGGGCACAACTCGACGACCTTTTTGAGAAAGGCTGGATTCGGCCTAGCTCATCGCCATATGGTGCTCCTGTTCTCTTCATCCGGAAGAAGAACAGGGATTTGCGGTTGTGCATCGATTATCGCAAGCTCAACGCGCAAACGATCAGAAATGTCGGCCCTCTTCCACACATCGATGACCTTCTCGAACGGTTGGGCGGCGCCAAGTTCTTCTCCAAGCTAGACCTCAAGTCGGGATATGATCCCGATATCACCAACTCGAGATCTGGTAGGAGGACCGCTACAATACCGCGTTTAAGACTCGATATGGGCATTTCGAATGGTTGGTTATGCCATTTGGCCTTACGAATGCCCCGGCCACTTTCCAAGCGGCTATGACAACGGAGTTCCGACACATGCTGGATCGATATGTACTTATCTACCTCGACGACATCATGGTGTACAGCCGGAGTTTGGACAAGCATGTGGAACACCTGCGCACCGTTTTGGAGCGGCTACGACAAGCCAAGTACAAACCCAACCGCGACAAGTGCGAATTCGCACGGCAGGAGCTGGAGTACTTGGGACATTATGTGACGCCGCAAGGCATCCGTCCGCTTGCGAACAAGATCGAGGCCCTTCGCTTATGGCCCGAGCCCACCAACACCACGAATGTTCGTTCATTCATGGGATTGGCGGGCAACTATCAGCGATTCATCACCGGATCTCAAGGATTGCTGCACCTATGACGAGATTACAATTGCCAAAGGTGCCATTCGTATTCGACGACGATGCACGCCGGTCATTCCAAGCACTCAAGACGGCCATGCTCATGGCACCTGTCCTTAGCATCTATGACCCCACCCTGCCTACGAGAGTGACAACTGACGCTTCCGACTATGGCATTGGGGCAGTCTTGGAACAACACGACGGYGAYGAYTGRCACCCTGYGGAGTATTTCAGCCACRAAGYGCCTCCCATCAACTCGCTTGATGATGCAAGGAAGAAGGAGMTGCTCGCRTTCSTSATGRCTCTCAAGCGATGGCGRCACTTSCTCCTTGGGCGTCGTAGGTTCACATGGGTYAYRGACAACAATCCATTGACCTACTACAAGACGCAGGATACGGTGAGCAGCACGATTGGACGATGGATGTACTTCATCGACCAATTTGACTTCACACCGAAACATCTCCCCGGCCTCTCCAATCGTGCAGCTGATGCACTCTCGCGAACACATGATCTTTGTGCTATGACACATCATGCCTTCGCATTCAACGAGGAACTCCAGCGACACTTCATCCGGGGCTACGAGTCTGATCCGGACTTCGCCACGTTGTATGCGCAGCTATCTTCGGATCACCCGCCGGCCAGGCACTATCGCATTGACGACGAGTACTTGCTCCTCCACTTGAGAGGGAAGGACTTATTGTGTGTCCCACGATCCCGTCGTCTTCGGACTCGCCTTCTCGGGGAGTACCATGACTCGCGACGCGCCGGCGATTTCAAAGTCAACCGCATTATTGCACCGCTTCGACAACGATTCCGATGGCCCGACCTCATTACCAATGTCGCTCGGTATTGCGACTCTTGTGAAGTTTGCCGACGAAGCAAACCTCGCAATCGCAACCCCTACGGCGAGTTGCACCCGATGCCTATCCCATGCTTATCCCATGGGAACCCGGCCTCTCCATTGCCATGGATGTCACCGGACCATTTCCCCGCGATCGCTTCGGGCACGAAGGCATCCTCACAGTTGTGGACCGTTTGAGTAAGTATGCGCGTTTTCTCCCTTGCAAGTACTACTCCACGGGTCCCGATCTGGCACGCCTCTTGCACACCGGCTGGATTTGTGGCCACGGTGTACCGGAAGACATAGTCAGCGACCGCGACACTCGCTTCATGTCGACATTTTGGACTGCTCTCATGCAGGAGTCCGTCACGAAGATGAAACCAAGTTCGGCTCGACATCCATAGATGGACGGGCAAACAGAGCGGGCACATCAAACCGCTCAAATGATGTTTCGTACGCTCATCCGTCCGGACCAGAAAGATTGGGTTGACCGCCTCCCCGACATCGAGCTCGCCTACAACACCGGTGCACCCGGCGATCGGCGTGACTCCATTTGAGTTGCACCACGGTAGACGGAAAGGTCGTATCTTCGCCGACCTTCTCCTCCCACGACCAGCCGACATCGACGCTGCTTGCTCTCCCGCTTCCGTCCGGAAGTACAGGGAATTGCTGGCTCAAGCCCGCTCGAGCATGCAAAAGGCTCAAGTCCGCATGCAGCAGCAAGCCCACAGGCGTCGCGTGCCCTGTCCCATCCACGCCGGTGATCTGGTTTGGGTCTCCGCGGAAGAGTTTGCACTGGAACAGGATGTTTTACGCAAACTGCTTCCCAAGTGGTTTGGACCATGGCCCGTAACATCAGCCGCGGGCGATGAGCGCGATGGCCCTTCATTTGTGATCAACATCCCCGCGCATCTGACGGTCCATCCGGTCTTTCACGCCTCGAAGCAGGCAACATATACACCAGCTAAGAGCGACGACTTCTCGGGCCGACGATCGCAAGACCCTCCATCTATGGATGGTCATCAGGAAGTTGACCACGTCATCACGGATCCCAAGTACGTCAGCAAGCCTCGACAGTACAAAGTTACATTCAGAGCATGCGATCCCGACGACACTCGGTGGATTTCACGAACAGATTTGAAAGCATCCGCACTGCTGATCTACGCTCACTACGAGCAACAGAGGTTAGCTCCGGGACCTTCATGACCTGCCCCTCCCACCCGGACTGTGGTCCCTCCCTCAGACAGACAGTTTCGCCCTCGCAGGTAAGCTCGGTCTTTCAAGGAGGGGGGGGTGTGGCATTCTGCATAGCCACACGGGCCTGCAGGGCCCGTCCCGCATTCTCAGCCTAAAAGCCTAGAAATAAGGGCTTACAGGCCCCATGTCATTTCAGCCTGAAACTTAAAACGAGGGCCTGCAGGCCCTATTTCGTTTTCAACCTATAACAGGGTTTTTCAGCCCTGAGGATTTTCAGCCTGAAACGGAGGGCCACTTCCGGGCCCTCATAAGATCGACCTACCCTAATACTCAGGCACAAAACCAGGGTTTCGGGAACAGGCTATCTCTAGCCTATTCCCATGACAGTCTCAAGCAGGAGCTGCAGCGGCAGCCCCTGACTCCCTTCGGCATTGGCAAGAGCAGCCTTCTGGACTGCCTCGCCCTGCAGTCAGGAGACAGGACGAGTAGTACATAGGAAGGTCCCATGCACTACACGGGTAGGTAGTTGGACAGTAGGCACGAGTAGTCTTAAGGATTCGGCCGCAGTACTCAGGAGGAGCACTGCAATAGTAGTTAGCGCTAACAGTAGTCTTCAGCGCTGGGCGCTAATAGCTGCAGGAATAGTCTTCAGCGAAGGGCGCTAGTAGCTGGTAGTAGTAGCGTTGGAGAGAGATGGCTGGCGGAGGCCAGCGGTATTTACCTGTGGCGCCATAGCTCCAGCTCCATCTTCGAGGTACCTGAATGAAGGCGCCATCTTTACAGGTTAGTACTGGACAGAGAGAGAGAGAGAGAGAGAGTTCTTCTTCTTCCTCTTCTAAGTCCACCATCTCTTCTTCCCCTCTCACCACGTGACTTCTCAGTATCAGCGGACTACTACAGAGAAAGAGAGTTGTGACTTGAAACTTGACGACATTGGATCCAGACACGACATTGGGATTCGGACATTGCGACGAGGGACTATTTGGGCCTGTGCCGAAGACTTGGTGTTGACGACATTCCCATCTTTCCCTCTTCTTCGTCTAACCCCCCTCTTCTTCGTCTGTGAATGGTTGGGGCTGGCGCATTCTTCTTGTGTGAGCGCCAGACCCCTTCACACCATGATGATGATGATGTATGTTCTGGGCTGCACTGCAATATTGATTGTTCGGATCATTGGTATCTAAGTTTTCCGCTGCATTATCTTGTACTTTGTTAGAGAGGTCGGTTCTTGTTCTTGTTTGCACCTTTACATTATGCAACAGAAAATCAGGCCGGGCAACAAAAACATTTCCACGGCCCTCCGGGCTTTTCCAAAGAATGCAGGCCCTGGGCGTGATACGCAGCCTCATACAGAGACAGTTGGGGGCCCAACCGAACGAGGCCCAGCAACCCAGTAGCTGCTGTACACAGGGAGCCTCCTAGGGCCTTCCGGAAGCTTCATGGTCCACGCCAGTGCAGCCAGGATGCGTGAAGCAGGCCAGCTCTTTCCATAAAGGAAAGGGCTCTCCCCTGGTAGGGGCATTCTGGCACTCGGATGCTAGCGGCAGCGCTGCTGGAGCAAGAGCTTGCGGCTACTGGCTGGCGCCGAGAGGCGAGGTGCAGCACGTGAGGTCATGCAGGGAAGAAGGACGCTGCTGAGGGCAGCGTCATAGCCCAGCCACCATAGCTGGTGGGCTTGGTCTACAGTCAGGCGCAAGGGTGGTCTTCGGGTGTAAGAGAGGACAGACGTGGGAGTAGAGACAGGGGATAGGTGAAGGATGATGATGATGATGATGATGTGAGGGCACCTTCCTTGTATTGACAATGGTCTGCATGGTCGACATCTTCAAGTAGTTCGGGTTGCTGCTAATGTCAACAGTTGCATTGTCAATAAGCAGGCTGTAGTAGTTGTGTTAGGAGTAGGCTGGGCATTGAGCGCTAAGTAGGAGAGTGAAGGGACTGGACTCTTGTGTTGATGAGGAGATAGTACGCTCTCCATAACATTGATTTTCAGTACTACGAACCTCCATTGGTGTATTATTGGTGTCTCTGGACACGGTGTGACTATCTGGCTTTCAATGTGATGGTGTAATCTAGAATTGTCATCTCGCTGTTGCTTATTTTCCTTGCAATTTGGTATCAGAGCTGGTTCATATTGTGCTTCATCGGTTCTTCGCAATAGATAAGGCATTGGCGTTGAACATTAGGCGGCCCAGGGTAGAGTGGGCGCGCCAGGGAGCTATGTGGTGACATACGGGGTGTATGCCAGATGATGAGAGCTTGCTGATGTGGCATATTAAGCGGAGGTGGAACCGCATTCTGTTGTGGGTTGTGCTGAGGAAAAGACCGGTCATCATAATTGCACATCAGGTTGTCGGTGAGAAATCTGTGGTTGGGGGCAGCATTTATGAGGTACGTTGCTCTCTTCCTTATCTACCCTCTTCATTGCTTCTTACCGTGAGGAAGTGAGTCTTGTCTTGAGAGTCCTCTCGATGTGAGGTGTCCCGAGCACTTAACCTTGAGAGTCGACATTCTTCTTGGGCAGCAAGCTGGTGGGAGACGGGCGTAGCCTCTGAAGGGCCCTGGACGAAGCACTCGGGTCACGGTCACCATGCCAACCTGCTGGGACTAGTACACGCATGCTTGGCAGCAAGTCCTTGGTTCCGCTGCTTGCACAATAGAGGTCGTGCAGGGCATGCCAGCCCTTTGGGATAGACGCTTACCAGACCGTCTTTA